TGTTCTACAAATACTTTCATGGAAATTGCTCCGAGGAACTGCATTCGCTGGTTCCCAAACTTCATGAGTTCAAGCGCCCTACGAGGCTGGCATCCCGCTCTCACCCCTTCACTGTCGAAACTCCTAAATGTAGCCGTCTCTTCTACTCTAATAGCTTCACGTCTCGCACCTCTCGCCTGTGGAACTCTCTTCCCTTCTCCTGTTTCCCTGAGAGTTATAATCTTCAGCTATTCAAGTGTAATGTCAATTGACATCTCCAGTTGCCTTAATCTATCTACTACCCTCATCCTTTCTTCTATCACTCCTATCTGATCTTCCTATTTTCTGTAACCCCTTGCGTCCTAGTGGCTTCCCGCCTTGCTTGGGGTGAAATGCTTAAAAAAAAAAAAAAAAAAAAAAAAAAAAACTTATGTTCGATATACAGTGTAACCCGGATGTAAGAGACCCGGATATAAGAGAAACCCAGATATAAGAGAAACCCAGATATAAGAGAAACCCGGATATAAGAGAGATTTTCTCTGGTCCCAAATTAGAGCCTGTGTTAATGTATATAAATTAGACCAAACCCGGATATAAGAGAAACCCGGATATAAGTACTTCTTCTCCTGTCCCGATAACTCTCTTATATCCGGGTTACACTGTAACATAGAAAATGTTTCTTTAAAGAAAGAACAAATTCTCAGCTTCTTATTTTGACATTTATTTTTACATCTAGTACTGCAGTGGTATAATAACAATCTCTAGCACAGTAAGACTAAACAAGTTAATAATCTCAAGTCAAATTTACTCTCCAATAGCCTTTCTTCTCATCAAAAATAAAAATCCAAAAGTCATCACATAAACTACCATTATTTTCACTGAGACTGAGCAGATATAACCATTATTTATGTGGAAAAATTAAGTTGTTTTATTTACTATATATTTATTTACTCGTATACGTGGAATTTTAAACAAAGATTAACGGCAAGAAGGGGGTTCGCATTATTTTCAGAAACTTTTACTTAGCTTAAAAAAAACAAACATTTGAAACCGCAAAATTGCATATACACTCAGCACAACAATGATAGTAAAGCACAAAGTAGGCAAGTGTTGATAACAATTGTTTGCAAAAGGGATTTGATATATCGGCAATATTTATTCTTTTAGAATCAGCGTAATTGAACTTTTTTCCTTTTTTTGTTTGAAAGACAGGAAATTCACTGAAATTGATTAAAAATTAAAAAAGAGAATACACAAGATCTGTCATGTTTTGATAACATTAATATTACAACAAAGTACCTCAAAATTCGAAAATAACTTTTGAAACGGAGATTAGGTGAAGAAACACGCAGTTGCTAAATATCGGGTTCATTTCTATTCATTAACATCGTGAAAAAATTAAATATTTTAGTGTAATATATGTACAACATTGAGATTTTGATAATATGGTAAAACTTTTCTAAAAAAAATTACATATGGCTGGTTTTACTACGGGGTTGCATTATACTCAAGTATGTAATTTATTCCCTGTTTTTAGCTTCAGAAACACGGAATCATATTATACGCAAGAAAATGCGATACATATGATCATTATGCCGCACTTAATCTTGCCTTTCCAGTCATTTGTTTTAGGAAACATCTTCGATTTCATATTATTTCTTCTCTGGCCAGAATAACAGTTTTTCATTTCGTTCGTGCCAAGTTTGTTTTTAATAAAAATTCAGTATTGATCGCTAATGTTAATGACGAAGTAAGTTACCGATCAACCTCCAATTTGTTCCATACGTTTCCACGATTTCTTTAAGTGTCATATCTTTTCATAGCTTCCTATTTCTTTTCATGTCTGTTAGCTGTGCGTTGCCATGATTGTTCCTAGAAAAGATCATTTTTTTTTTAATTTAGACTTGTTCTTCTACACTGGTTGTCAACCAAGACTATAAAGTTCACTTTACCCTGATGTTTAACCTATAGCTGGGGCGTGAGGTGACGGATTCATGCTTTTGTTTTTAGTGCATTAGTGAAACTGTTTCATCTGGAATTTGAACTCCGCATACCGATTCCATTTTCTGTGTTGTTAACCAATGCCTCCACCAGCAGCTCCTTTTTCACGCTACCTAACGAAAAAAGAAAAAAGAAAAGGTTAAGTGCTATCAAAAGTATTAAAAAATATAGGTGTACCGTTAAGTTAGTCGCAATTACTTTCAATGTTAAGCGTTCGGCCTTGTGCAACCTCACGTTTTGACGTGGCTATTATGCAAAGGAATGGCCAGCTCTGTAGTTCAAGTGTCTAATCGACCGCACATTCAAACTAAAAAGAATCGATTTCCGGCACGTGTCGAGATCGACGAAGAAACGGGCCGCGGGCTTCGTACGACGGAAGTACGTGCCTTGGACGAGGTAATTCCTTTTGTAAATGTAACTGTGCCAAATACTTGACGTTGTTGTTGTTGTTGTGCCGGTGGCGTTCGGCTGTTTGCTAATGCAATAAGGCGGGAGAAAAGAGATTCGTCGTTTGTGAGGCAACGTTGGTACATGTCATCGAGATAAAGAATTTCTCTATCTAAGTTTCAAACTGTTTTGCAACATTGAAGGTATGCACCGAATCGTAAATGACCGGAAGCCTTGTTCGATTTTTGTCATAAAAAAAAAACACGGAAATTGGAAACCTGAAATGTATTATGATTAGTCAGTCATTGTGTGCCCACGCCAATAGTAACTGGTGGTTTAAGCCGGTGATTAATTGTCAGCAAATCAGTATTCCAGCATTCTTTTTAGTAGTATAAATATTTTCAGTAATGCTGTCGTCTAAATGGTTCTGATTGCCAGTTCCACTGCTCTTTTCTTCGGCTCCCTTAACGTTCTGATAATGACTGAGACGATTTTCGATTTCTGGTTCAACAACCTCCTTAACTTATAAAACCCCGATATTAATTATAAAAAATATCAATTATAGGTTTTTCTTTATAACCCATTAATTCCAACCATACTAACAATGGGACACAGTAAACATTAATAGATTAATTCCTTAACTAAGTCAAGATACCTTTCTGCCATTTTCACCTTCTTTCAAAACTACTCTTTGATCTGAAGAAACAATAAAATACACTATTTAACATTGTTTTTCTTCTTGCTTATGACGGCTAGATCCGATCTTCAGGCCTGGATTTAGTAATCTGTTTGGATCTCAAAATCTCTGTGGATTTTATGTTTCATTCTCTAAGACAGTTTCGACTCTGTGTATATAACAATGTTCTATCTGATCAAGATTCACCTACTTATGCGCCATCTTGTTTTTTGTTTTGTTTTCCTGTGTTAATTTGCTACATTGGCTGATTATGTGGTTGCCTGTCTTGTCTTTATTTCTACACAGTTTACATTTGATGTTTTAATGTGTTTTCTCTCTCCTGTCCTTTATAGTTTTCCTTCATATAACACTTCTCGTTTTTTCTTATCTTCTTCCTTTAATTTTTGAAAACCGACTACAAAGTTTCGTCGTCTTTATTCTGATTATTTTTTGTTGACGTTGCTTATGTTGAAACTGCCCAGTTGTAACAAATTTCAGACGCCATTTACAAGGCTTCAGCACAAATCTGATTTGTTTGATCTGAATTAACGAATACAAATTTATCATCAGCTTAATTGATATCACTATCATTTGTATGATTTCGCATTTGCAGTTTGTATTGTTAGTTTCTTTTGTTAATTATATTTTGCTGTTATTATAATTGACGATTTCTCACACTATTTTTTGCGAGATGATATTGTTTTTTTTTCTACTATTATTAGGATATAGGCACGTGGCCGAGTGGTTAGAACGTTGGCTTTCTGGCCATAAGACCCTCACCAGGGTCGATTTGTCAGGAAGGTAAGTTCTTGATGTTATCGGTCTGGAGGAGGCGATAACATCAAGAAGGAAGCGATCCCAGCGTGCGGCACCTTTGAAAAGTGCCTTGTGGTGGTAGATGGAACCTTCGGGAAGCCGTTGTTGGTTATGCTAGCACGAAGTCACAAGTCATCGTGACCGAGTGTTTGAGTTGAGCGTGCTGGCCTTCTTCAGACTGTTGATCACGCTAGAAAACGCGCTCTCTCCCAGAAACTATAACTAAGTTCAGCTCAGCATAGTTGCAGTATAAACCACAGGTGGGTTCTGTGAGCGTTGAACAAATACAAATGTGCCTGAGCAGATGACTGAAATGGGGATTAGCTAGCGGTCTTAGTAGACGAGCACTCTCGGATACGAGTGGTCAGCCACTACTACAATTAGTCGTATACTCTTGTTTCGTTTATTTCTTCAGTATTCTATTTACATTCTAGAGTCAAACGATAAAGTCTTTGAAAAATTAATTAAATTCAGGTAACACGAGCGAAGATATAGACTTTTTTATTTTAACAATGTCTGTCTTCTTTCTCCATAAAAAATGATTGTTATTCAGTCATCTTTAAGTTGATGCTTCTTAATGACACTATGAAGTGAAAATACCTAGAATCCGTGAAAGTTTAATTCCATTAGAAGCGCCGATATATTTGTTTATATTAAATACTTACATCCAAAGATTCGCTAAAAATGACAAAAAAATGATTTTAAAAAATGACCAAAACCTATTAAAAAGAAAGTTTGATCGTCAAAATCTTTATTGTTAAGAGGAAAGACCAAAGGAGTTTTTGATTATTAAATTTTATTTTTAATCCTTTTTAGAACCGTCGAAATTTTGTTTAAAATGTTGTTTTCTTTTTAAATACAGCAAATTATTTTGCTTATTGTAAATATTAAATTTAATCTATTAGCTTGGAATAAAAGCTTCAAGAAATATTTTTCATTTTTAAAACGCAGTTTAAACTATAGGTGTAGCTTGGGTGGGGGCAACCTATATTAACATCTACTTCAGTGAAAAAAAATAAACAGAAAATAGCTCCGTCGTCTACGGGTAACTTTATTTTTACCTTTCATCTCGGCTTTATATACCGAAGAAAATGCTTCTTGGTAAGTAGAAATAATTTATTCTGTTTCTTTTTTTTTATAGGAACAGACGGAATCTCAGAGAAAGTCAAGATCAAGCCTAATACAAGTTACTGAAGAGGTACGTAAATAGTAATAAATATTGCCTCAGTTTTATTTAGACCGTCATCCAAATGTTGTGCGATGAAAATAAGACTAGGAATGTTACATTGCATCAATCATTTTAGTGGAAAGAGATTGACTGCCTCTAAAACCACAATTTCAATTGATTGTATTTACCTGGGTTCGATCAAGTAACACCAGTGAAGAATACACAAACATTTAACCCACCAAACAAGTTAAAACCCTCTTTCACTTACAGTAAATTTTTTGTCACCCATTCTATTACTGCTCAGTCTATATCCGACTTAATTTCAGCGATAAGAAGACTAACCCACTCCAGTTGAAACTGTCTCAGCTCAACAAATTTATTTAGCATTTGTATCAAGTTTGCTAGAACCTCCTTTCAATTTATTAAGTAAAAATAAAAGATATATTGTTGTTCTGTCATCTTTCAGGCAACATCCGCTTTCCAAATTTCTAAGCAAAGAATTGTGGTAGGTGCCATTTGCAGTCTTCCAGGAATTATTTCCATTAACCCATATAATCCAGGCTCCCTTTTTTCATATATCTTAACTATAATTATAAACTATATTTTTTTTTTGAAAATATGTCTGAAATTAAAATAATACAAACTTTAAGCAAAATGGTCACAATATATGGAACAAAGAAGGCGGAGATGAATTAATTTTTTTTAAAATTATGATATACCCAAAACGTTACTCATTTCTTCTCTGTTAAAATCAGTCAATTTTGACTTTTTAGTGCACATTGTCAAAATAAAATCAAAGTCGGCCTTTTTAAATGAAGATGATTAAAACTAAAAAGTCCCACTTCAATTTAAAAACTAAACACGAACGAAGCTTTGGGTCATGCAATTCCTGCAGCGGACCATTTGCAATGCATCTATTTTGATAATTATATATGCAATTCATTCTTGCTGCGATTCATTAGCGATCGGCATGTTGATATCTTCTTGCCAAAGAAATCAATTACGTTTTGTTCATACTGATATCATTCGAAATTCATTTGTTTCATATAAATTGCTGGTATCACTACAAGCAGTTTTCTTTTTAGTATATTTTAATGGCTTTTCCTCTTCGTAATTTGTCCTAAAAAAACTCTTTATTTTATTTTATTTTATTTATCTATTGCTTCTTCTTTCAGTTGGATTTTGTCGATGCAGAAGGTGAGGCTAAACCTTTGGAAACAGATACGCAAGAGACAGAAGATGTAAGTAGACTCTATTGTATTATTTGTTTATAAAATGTACATTCGACATTTGTGCAAAATATTTATTTCTTTACCGAACTCTAGGTATCACGTTATTTTGTTCTTGTTCTCTGTCGTTAGATGTTAGGTTATCATTCTGATTAAAGCAGACGACAATTATATGTTGATGCACTGGTTCCATTGTACTATTTAAGAGAGCCGAGAAGGTATCCATTGAAATATGCACGTCACTACTATCATTCTGATTCAAACGATTTAAATCTCTGAATATTGCTGAAGTGAAGATGAACACGGTTTCAATTCAACATTTTTAAACATCGAGCTCGTATAATTTAAATTGTGCGTGAAATGAAAATGTGTGCGCGCGTGTAGTTAGATTGGACTGATTGTCGAGTTCAATCGCTTTCTGATGTTTGTAGGATGGAACTAGATGCTGCGGAAGCGAAAGTAAAATAAATAATATAACAAATCTAAAACGGCTTATTAATACGGCCTTTCACTTGAATTGATTCAATCTTTTACTGCTTCCTCGATGTGTCGTTCTACACTTCTTTCTTTGTTGCTCCCAATTTCAATCATTTATCTCTTCCTCTCTTTCTCTATCTGTCTATTAATCTCTTTTATTTCTCTCTAATAAAATCTAGTTATTATGCTTTCCTTTGTACGCATTAGGATAAATGGAGTGTATTGTGGTAAAAAATTATGTTGGGTTAGTTTTCCTCGTGGGGAATGGCTGACTAACTTGAGAATTAATATTCGAGATTATGACTTTAAATTTGTGTTTGATTGCCGACCATTGGCGCTAATGTTACGCAACTCAGACATATCAAGTCGGCTTTTTTTCAATAAGGGTCTTATCCTTTAAATTTCGTTAGATTTACTTAGACAAATACCCTTGCAAAAGGTATGAATCCATGTCTTCTCCCGACAGCTATCGATTGAATAGCAGGACACACTGGGTCCTATAGCCTTGGTTGGCAACCAGTCTAGGACAGAAAGAAACAATAACCTACTGCGAGAAATCTTCTGCTTAGTTAGTCATGAATCGAAAGCATGTATCACGTAAGGCACTTTGATTTTGACCCTTTAAATTAATTACGATTGAAAATATTAACTGAATGAAAATCAGCTTATTTGTTATAATAGTAAGACTAGCAAAACTTACTCGTGGAAGCACAGAAGGTTACACACACTGACAAAAGTTATATACCTGAGGAGGGCACAGAAAAATCTGGATTCGACCAGGAAATGGATCATTCGATCAAGATGTCTTGTGAGAGTAGCTTACATGTCTCACACGCTAACCATCGATCTACAGCGGATACCCTAAAATATTTATTGCTTATTTGCTAACCCTGTACATCAATAATAATAATAATGGATATGCGAATAGCCTAATGGGATCAGCGAGCCGTTCAAATTCTCGCCTTGTCCGTTGCGTTCACTTTCATACAAATGTTCTTAGGAAAGCCGTGAATCCATTTCTTCTCTCCCCAGCTATGGGTTAAATAGCAGGTTAGACTGGACTCTCTGGTATTTGGTGATAACCAGATTAGGAGAAGGGGCTTGTTTGAATTCGAAACCACGGAGAAGACAACGAGAACCATTCCACTATATTTCCCAGGAATTCACGACAGTTCACAGAAAATGAAAAAAAAATATGTGAAGAGTCATAATCGCCTACGTCTTTAAATGGTTTTCAAATAATAATAACAATAAATCCTTCTATGATTCTCATTACTTCTGACCTTGATTGAGTGCAGGTGTTAACATTGTCTTGGTGAATTAAGATGGGCTACAGTAAATCTTCCATTCAGTAACACAGATTTGCATGTCAATTATTTGTCCATAACGATTTAACCATGTCCTCTAGGGGTTGACGCATTGTGCATCTTAACGAGTGGGCAGAGTAGAAGACCACCAGAACCGGGTGTCGAGGGGGTTTTAAGTTTGAAGGATAATGCAATACGTGACTCATATCGCGATAATTGGAATCACCTTCAATCGGAGACCGTCTGAGTAGACTGGGTTACCCGACCTGAATGTATTTTTAAGTAGGCCCCCACCTCCAAAATTATATACACTGCATTCATCAAAACCTGTCACCAAATCGCACACATTTGGCTGTGATGCACGTGTAGGGTAATTCCTTAGTAAAATCGGTGTCATGATTGTAGGTTAGCCTCCATATATTCGTAACCCAGTTACGCTTTTTTGGCGTGTTCTCTCTCTCTCTCCCCCCCCTCTCTCTCTCTATCAAAATTCCGCATGTTCATTTGTTCTTTAGTTAGTTTGTTAGCAGACACGTTACGTCTTGCCAATACCTCATAAATAAGGGTCTATTCCGTTTTGAACCTGGGAAAAGACAAATCAGTGAACGCTATTTATTTTCATTTAGGGAGAGAGAGAATGAAAGAGAAGGCGATAAGGCTCTCGTGTTTAACGTCTGATTCAGTGTAATGGAAAAACTTGTAAAATAAAAACCTCCAATCGAGATAGAACTCAAGACATTTTAAAGATAGATTTTTTTTTTTTTTTTTACTCCTGTGGCAGTGGAGACTTCTGGGATTATTAGCCCTCGTTCGATTGCGTTCCTTCGGAGGATTGGCGCGATTGCGTCTCAATTAAGGGACGAGCCTCGCGAAACGGTGTGGCTCTTGCAGCGTGTTTCACTGGCGATGGTTCGAGGTAATGCTTTCTCCCTCATTGTGGCTAGCAGAGGATAGCAAAAAAAAAATTGAAAGAAACTTATTTAAAATAATGTAATTGAATTACGATTAGTGTTTTTGACCTTCTTTCGGTGAAAAACACATTGATTTGGAAATACTTGCAAAAATCAAATAACTGTCAGGTTTTAATGAAACTTCTTTTTTAAAGAATAAACAATAACAGGAATTTTTTCTGGCGAGTATGTAACCAAAGGCTGACGTAAAAATGACGTCATTCCATTGTAGTACATTCTCTCTCTCTCTCTCTCTCTCTCTCTCTCTCTCTCTCTCTCTCATATATATATATAGAGATATGGTTAAAATAGTCTCCTTTTGTTCACCTAGCTAATGTGAATCACTGTCGTTCCCAACCTAATCTCGACATTCTCTTTTGGTATAATCCTTATCGAGATTCCCAATCACTACAGTTTTTATCTTCATTGGATCAGCTTTATATATTTCCAAAACGATTTGTCCCTTCCCACCACTAGTGAGTGAGCTTCTTGATTCTGCTTAGCAGCAGAATACAGCGGCCGCTCTTCTTTTTATTTTTTTGTCGGTTGGACGTGCCATATTCAGTTTTTATTTCTATTTGAATGTTTTGTTTCTTTTAATTTTATTACTGAATTCACCCCCTTCCCCCTTCATTTCATGTGCCAATTTTTTTAAATTTTTACAAAAATTTAAAAAGAAAGAAAAGTATTTGTACATATGAAGAAATTTTAAAATCCTCTGCGTTTTATTAGGATCCCTGCAAAGATGTGGTGCTGTGGTACATGTTGGATTGAATGAGGAAGGATAGTTTCTTGTGGTGAATGAGCTGTGACTCGGATTAGCTAAGTTTAAGATAGACATTGTTGACCAGCCTTTACTCCGTTTATGGCTTTGTGTCACAAATTAATGTAACCACATTAATTAAATAAATACTCTGTGTGAAACAAATCCATAATAACAAGTAGCTTGAAGCTTGAATCTTTTAATTATTTCAAACAATCTGTATTTAAAATGTTTTATATAAACCACTGAATAAGAGCCGCGTAAGTGAGGGAATTTCAAATTCGATTAGCTTTCACCATTAAAAATTACATAAGGTTCAAAAAGTTTTATTTAAATGAACAGGTATATATTCAGAGTATATCAGAAATACCTGTCATATATACCTCCCACATATGGTAAGACATTAGCGACAATGGTGTCTTCACCGGGCTAATGCCTTAACATTATGTGGAAAGTATTTCTGGGAGGCATATGTGAGAGATATTTCGTGTGACGCGTTTCGTCCTTTAGGATTTCATCGGATTAAATTTATGTTTACATTGATGCGACGACGCATGCGCACGAACAAGAGACGCTGGCAATTTGAAATTTAAAAATGAATTTAAAAAATTTTTTGGGTATATAATCTAGCCGATTTCATTTAGATTCTTTTATTTTTTGTTTGTGTTTCCGTCATTTTTGTTATTAAATATTCCACATTGTGATAACAGAAAATTTGGCAATGGTAAAACGTTGTAAGAACCTGTCTGCAGTAAGTATTTTATTCGCTAGATCATCTTCAATAAATTTGTGTCCAGGTTCTTACAATGTTTTATCGCTCTTGGCAGATCTTCTATATCACAATTTGGGGTATTTAATAACAACGGCTAGATTATAAACCCATAACAGATATTTAAAAAAAAATCATCTTTAAATTTCAAATTCCCAGCGTGTCTCGTTCTTGCGCAATTGTAAAAATGAATTTAGTCCGATGAATGATGAAAGCCGAAACGCGTTACACGAAATCTTTTTCCACTTTGTCATACTTCTTTCCCCTAAAAATGTTCTTGATATATACAAAAATTATATATCGTTATTCTATAATTATAATATTATAATATATTATAACATATATATATATATAGTATTGACTGATATAATATTATTTCAAGCTCGCACCTCAAGTGTCGCGATGGAAAAAAATTAACTAATATAACATCATTCCAACCTCGCACTCCTCACTTTTTTCTATTTTCCTTCTTTCCTTCCTTTTCATTTCAAATTATGTATGTATGTATGTATGTATGTATGTATGTGCGCATGCGGCAAGCGTAATGATTGTGAGCACGGAAAAAAGGACCGGCCTGCTGAATTCCGGCCATGATAATTGCATTCACTTTCACACAAATACCTTTGGGAAAGGCATCATGAATCCCATTTCTTCTACCCAAGTAGGTGAGAACTGGATTCTGTAGTAATAATATTTGTTTTACAATTCTTTAATGTTTAATAAGTTCAAAAAGGTAAACAACAAGA